GGGTTTAATTTTCTGTGATTGCCAATGGAAAATTGCATCCGTGATTTTCCATAGAAAATTGCATGGAAAATGTGATTTCAAATAGTAAATTTTATGGGGGTCAGCTCTGTGATTATACATCGACAATTTCAACATTCAAATTTTTGGTAAAGTTATGAGGTTCTTAATACAGATATGAGGGCAAAAATGTGTGCAGGTCTAATTTGTGTATACTGTCCAAATTATTTAAATCGCTTCGTATTCGAAATGTACGAATTTTGTCATCAGAACTATTATTATGCCCCGAACATCGCGAATTTTCACCTGGAGAATTTTCACATAAAGATTGGTCAATATTTAGCGGGTCAAATGGACCCTGATTTTTGTGTGAAAAATTACAAAATTTGTATTCTATGGCGTATATAATTACTCCTGAAGGACACAAACCCGAGAAGTTGATAGTATATCCAAGAGGAGTGGTTGACCTTTAAATTGATACCAATCATATTGTCGTAGGTACTCGGATGCGGGAGTTACACTTAAATATTTACATGTGCTTACGTATTCATATAATATTTAGTAACCTATTACCACACTTTGGGGCGGATATATAGACTAATCGCTTTGAAATGTTCCATGAGGTTACAAAATATATATGGTGAAAGGAAAAAACGCCTAGAAAAAAATAATAATATAAATGATAAAGATAATAATTTTTCGAAGTTTGAAGTGGAAAATCCATAAAACCACGTTTTTCTTATATTTATTATAAAATTAATTTTCGAAGTAGAAAGCCGAACATCACAACACAACCTACGGTGAAGGGAATCTGGACAAGTAATTAGAGGGGCTGTATTGATTATTAGTAACATTTTCTGACCTCTAGCCAGTCAAGGGTGTGCAAATATCGCGAAATATTGCACAATCTCAGAATATAGAACCACAGAAAGTTAGATTTTTAACGTCGATTTTGCATTTGGTTTTCTTGATATTGGGCTTTTATTTTTCAAAAAGAATGTACTGTATCTCGCGAGTGCAAGGATATGGCGATGTCAAAATTTGTCCATATCCTATCTAGTATAGTTGCATTAAATCTGTGAACAGAAAATTGTTCTATGAGTACGGAAAAAATTTGGGATCCAGGGGTTAAAATTGAAACCGATATAGCATGTTTGAAGGGTCATTGGTATGACATCGAGAGAAATTAAATATATATTTACAGCCCAATATACGTGAGTCTATGTGTGGAACGTCTATCTAAACCTGAACCGATTTCTTCAAATCATAACACACGTTACTCTGGACTCAATTTAATACGATATGCTAAATTTCGACTCAATCGGACAAACCTTGGATGGTTGGTGCACCATTTACATAAAATCGGACAAAAATACACATAAGAAGCTATATCTGAGCCGATTTCAATGAAACTTAACACACGCCTTACTAGACTTATCCCAAAAAGACATGGCAATCGGAAAAATATTGGGAGTTTGATGCAAAGTTTTCACGATATCGGGCGAAATTGCAGTATCTATATCTGCTCCAATTTCAATGAAACTTAATATTCTCTTTCCTTGTCTCAATTCCATGCGGTATGCCAAATTTCGTCTGAAGCGGAATAACATTGGGAGTTTAGTGCACCATATACATATAATCGGACGATATATATGGAAGCTGTATCATAATCTGAACCTTTCTCAATATTTAACCCACATCAGTCTGGACTCAATTTAATGAGTTGTGCAAAATTTCGTCTCAATCCGCCAAATTATGTATGTTTTCAATTAAATCGGATGAAAGTATATATTAAAGGTATATCTATGTTGAAGCACTTGATGAACCTGAACCAGGAGTCACCTAATGGATCCCAATGAATAGAAAATGAGCTATGGGATTCCCCTACTGAAACCAGAATATTCACATCGATGGGGGCACTAATTAGCTAGAGTTCACATCCGACAGCATCTATAAGTCGCAGGGGCACCCTACAGCTATTTAGAATATGGCGAGGGACAAGAACAACGTTCTGAAGTTGCTGCTAAATAATTCTTTTGATAAGTGATAAGCCGGTTTGTGGCAAACTATGCGAATTCAATGTGATCAGGTAATGGAAAAAATCAATCTTGCCAGAATATCACATTGAGAACTGTAGCAGGAATATAATCATTGAAGAATATCCGAATATCCCCAAAATCTGTTCGGCATACATATAATACTCTACACCTCTTTTATTAAAAATTCATCACGGGTGGCAGAAAGGTGGCAGCCTTTTTGAAGCTCGAGTTAGAAGTAGAACCAGTGTGAGTATAGGAGAATTGAAATTGAAGTTAATTTCGGCCCGGCCACCATGAGGATGACAATTAAAATATTTGAAATTAAGGGGGATCATAGGAGAAAACTCATATCGAACACCAGTAAGAAAAGTAGTAATGTCGGACGGGGCCGACTATATGATACCCTTCACCACTATGGGTGTATTAAAAAGATGCATCCTAACAGAAGGGTCATTTACCTGAAATTGGATGAACTGAAATATGTGAACTTTATCTAAATGTGAATCGACTTAGATCATAAACTAACTTATACTAATGTATGCACGTTTTGTTCCTAATGGATATATTTTGGATCCTAATTAAAATCGGACGAAACTATATGGGAGCTATATCTAAATTTGGACGGATTTCAACAAAACTTGACACACCCTTGGCTAAACTATTTTAAGAACGTTGTGCAAAATAAATCCGAACTGGTTTCAGCAAACCTTGACACATGTCATGTTACACAAACTTTAGTACGTTGTGCAAAATTATGTGGCAATCTGCCTATGTTTGCTTCTTAAAATAGGACAATTTTCAGGAAACTTTACACACATCATTCTAGAATTAATTCGGTACGCTATGTCAAATTAAGTGCAAAATTAAAATTAAATCGGGCAAAATTAAATATATTGGAGCTATATCTAAATCTGAACCGATTTTCACGAAACTTAACACGCATCATTTTAGTCTTAATTCAGTACGCTATGCCAAATTTCATCTAAATCGAAAGACATATAGGGACGTTGGTACACCATTTACATTAAATCAAGCGAAAATATATATGGATCTATATCTAAATCTGAATCGATTGTCACGAAACTTAACACACATCGTTCTAGGGTTTATTCAGTACGCTATGTCACATTTCGTGCAAATCGAAGGATATATAGGGACTTTGGTACACCATTTACATCAAATCGGTCGAATATATATATGGGAGCTATATCTAAATCTGAACCGATGTTCAAGAAACTTAGCACATATCGTTCCAGACTTATCTCAGTACGCTGTGCTCAATTTCGTGAAAATCGAAATATATATATATATATATATATAGGGACATTGGTACACCATTTACATTAAATCGGACGAACATATATATGGGAGCTATATCTAAATCTAAACCGATTTTCAAGAAATTTTACAGACATCATTGTAGACTCTATTCAGTACCCTATGCTAAATTTCGTGCAAATCGGAAGATATATAGGGACTTTGGTACACCATTTACATTAAATCGGTCGAAAATATATATTGGAGCTATATCTAAATCTGAACCGATTTTTACCAATTTCAATAGGGTTCGTCCTTGAGCCAAATAAACTAGCTGTGCCAAATTTCATCCAATTCGGATAATAAATGCGACCTGTACTTTGTTTACAATTTAACATGGACAGACAGACGGACATGCATAAATCGACTTATAAAGTGAGTCTATGCATATTTTCAAAACGTGAACCTGCAACATGGGTCAATATTTATCATTTTTGGTACGGAGATGTACTGTAAAATACGGTTGAAAAACTTGTCTAAAATTCCCAAAATACCGAATATTGGAAGGCACAGTTATATAAGGGCTACACCAAAACGTGGACCGATATACCTCATCTGGAATACCAAACATCGTAGGAGTAATATCAATGTATGTGCAACATTTCAAAACTATATTTTAAATATTACGATCTCTATTGTGATTTCAACAGACAGACAGGCGCACATCCGTAAATCGACATAGAATTTTATTCTAATCAATTATAATATCCGGTGAATATTTCGAAGTGTAGTAGTAACATCGGTTACAATCATCATCGAATTTAATATCAAAGGTCAAAATTCCTTCCCAAACACACTTCCGCAAGCGATCACAATACCAAATTACAAAATTGATGAGTTTTGAATGCCATATTCCATTCCTAAAGAGAAGTGAGTTCCCGAAATGCACTTGCAGTAGGATAGCACTTGCAGTAGGATAGTAAAATCTCACTGTGCATATTCCTGCGTGCTGCAGTGTTAGACTCGCTACCACACATCGGTCGAGGATTGCCCTTTTAAGAACAGTTTTCAGTTCGATCATGAATAACATCGATACCACCAATACTGACCCTCGGAAATTCGACCCTGACACTATTCAGGCATACTAAACATCCGAGATTATAAAATCTGCCCCGATTAACCTTCCTGCAGTCTCTACTGAAGAAATCGTCATTATACATCGGTCGAGGCTGCGGCGAATCGTTCTTTCTAGAAAAGTTTTTGACTACGACCACGAATACCATACCGGACAAATCTAAAAAAGTCAAAAGCTTCATTTGAAGCACAGACGGATGGACACAGGTTTGTCCAAATATAACACGAAGCCTTACTTTTAGGCATTTTGAATACGTCTTCAAATATTAAATTCTTATATTATTAATTTAATAATATTTTACTACAATATCCCCAAACAAAAATTTAAAAATAGTTTTGTAAACAATCTCACCTGTTACCGCTATGTCATAAGCTTAAGAATTGAGTGCTTTCGTTTATCGTCTTCTCGGAAACTTTTAATTATATTTTCCAATAATTACGTTTACAGACAACTCAAGGTTGTGCATTTTACTCTTGTGTTTGTTTAGAAATTATTTCTAATTATTAATTTGATTTTTATTTCACTCCCCCTCCCACTTACTCACTTTCCATCTCTCTTCCAAACTTTTCCAGATATATTGGCACTACGTGATATTCGAGTTAAAGTACCACATGCTGTGCGTCGTGGCCAAAGAATAACCATGAAATGTCACTATGACATTGAAGACGATACCCTGTATTCGGTGAAATGGTACAAAGGTAGACGGGAATTCTATAGCTATACACCGAATGAGAATCCAGCATTGAAAGTTTTTCAAATACCAGGTGTACGAGTTGATGTAAGTATTAGTCTGAAGAAAATTATAGGGAATTGCGATTGTTGTGTTGTTGTTGTTGTCATAAGAATGAAAAACTTAATTTTGTGTAATACGTATTTGGTTTACATTTTCATTACAGCGCCACTCGTCCAATGAAACGCAATTGGTATTGGAATCTGCCAGCATGGCAACGGCTGGCAAATATTCATGTGAGGTATCAGCCGATGCTCCATCTTTTCATACTTTAATCGCTGCCGCTGAATTGGAGGTTGTTGGTAAGTGTTAACCATGCCATCACCATCATCGCCACCATCATTGATCCTTTACGGGATGCCACTGCTGTTGCTGTTGTTGATGCCGATGAACTAAAGTGCCTGTGAAAAATTTACACAAACATATTGTCCTTGTGCAAACAGTTTGTTGCCTATTTTTCCTGGGCATAAATTTATGCAAAAATTATACATTTCCTTTCATCGCCGGTCCCACCATCATCACCACCATCGTCATCAACAACAGGAGCAGCATCGTTTTTTGGTTTGTTTGTCTGTTTGTAATGCTGTTGTTGTTTTTGTTTACTCCTTTAATAGAATTGCCCCACAATCCGCCTGTTATCACGGGAATGCGTGCACGTTACCATGTCGGTGATATATTACGCGGCAATTGTACATCACGACACTCGAGACCAGCAGCAAATCTCACATGGACAGTGAATAATGAAGAGGTAAGTTCGTGTAGCAATTGTATATTGTATGTATGTATAACTGTATGAAATGAACATGAACCCATACACAAACAGAAAATACATATAGTTTAAGGGCATGTGTATAACGAACAGTAGTTTTGAAGAGATATATACCATAATACAAATATCACAAGGTAAGAAAAGATCACCTGACTGGCCAAAAGACCAGTTAATCCACAAATATAAATTTTTGTTCTGACCCAAGAGGGGGAATAGATAATTGTTTTGGCGGTCAGGGTAAGCAATAGCGAACATCCCCCCGAGAAGTTTAGATATATCTGACCTAGCCATCATTAAGTGTTACCTGGCGTTATCATACATTTCAATTTGGAAGTTTGACATATTTTAGGATAAAAGTACATAGTACGGTTTGACGTACCACCTTGCATTTTTACATTAACTGGAAGAAATTGACCCAAGATATTAAATTACATATTTACAAACATTTTCTTTTGATCACTTTTCGTAACTTTCGAATGGATTAAAAAGTCGGCGAACTTAAATCTTTGTAAAAAACAACTTTGAACTACTTTGCATTGAGGAATTCAGTCGTGACCCTCATGGACGAAGGTCCTTCAAACACAAAATACTGGATCTCTACTGGATCTCTATGGATTTCATTTTCATTGCACATTCGATCATATAGCCCATCTGCACAGAGAAAAAATTAAACCAGTAAGGAAAGTAGTAAAGTCGGACTCGGCCGACTATATGATACCCTTCACTACTTTGGGTATATTCTACATATGTATCCGAAGAGACGTCGCGTTTTTGTTATATATTTGTATCTGAACCAATTTCAGGGAAACTTGGCAGAGACGCATTTATATTACTTCAGTTCGTTGTGTCAATTGGCCTATCTATGGATCCTTTCACGAAGCTTAGCAACATCATTCTAGAAATGATATATAGGGTCTTTGGTTCAACAATTACCTTAAATCGGACGAAGATATACATGGGAGCTATATCTAAATCTGAACGATTTTCACGAAACTTTGCACACTTTATTCTAAACTTAATGTTTTACGCTATGCCAAAATTCGTGCAAATCGAAAGATTTCCAGGGACTTTAGTGGACTATTTACCTAAAATCGGGCGAAACTATATATAAGAGCTATATCTAAATCTGAATCGATTTTCACGAAACTTTGCACACATCATTCTTGACTTAATTCAGTACGCTATGCCAAATTTCGTGCACATCGAAAGAAAAACAATGACTTTGGTACACCATTTACCTTAAATCGGACGAAGATATATAAGGGAGCTATATCAAAATTTAAACCGATTTTCACGAAACTTAGCAAACATCATTCTAGTCTTAATTCAGTACGCTATGCCAAAATTCGTGCAAATCAAAAGATTTCCAGGGACTTTAGAGGACTATTTACTTTAAATCGGGCAGAATTATACATGGGAGCTATATCTAAATGCGAACTGATTTTCACGAAACTTTGCACACATCGTTCTAGACTTAATTCAGTACGCTATGCGAAATTTCGTGCAACTCGAAAGATATATACGGACTTTGGAAACCATTTATCTTAAATCGGCCGAAAATAAGCTTAATCTAAATCTGAACCGATTTTTCCCAATTTCAATAGGGTTCGTCCTTGGTCCAAACAAATGAGCTGTGCCAAATTTCATCCAATTCGGATCATAAATGCGGCCTGTACTTTGTTTACAATTTAACATAGACAGCCGGACGGACATGCATAAATCGACCCAAAAAGTGACTCTATGCATATTCTCAAAAGGAACCATGGGTCTATCTCGATTATTTTTGCCTGTTACAAAAATATGCACAAAGACATAATACCCTGTACCACATTGTGGAAAAGGGTTTAAACATTACCAGAACATTTTTGCAAAGATATAAAACTCAACCCGGCTAGAATTTGATCCCTGGTTCTCAAATGTTGCGGGAGTCTTAGCGTTCAAAATCAAAATCTCCTCTGAAAGTAATGTTCTGGTATGATAAATTCCAGGCGCATTGATTTTGTTCGCACTTTTTCAAATTTAGGAAAACTTCGAATTATTGGACTTTCCCTTCAGCGTCAACCATCAGTAGGATCGCTTATATATGCCTTTTGGGCTGGGGCATCCTCATACATTCTCACGACATGGTCTAGCCACCGTAGTCACTGCTGCTCGATATGTCTGACTATGTCGCCGTCCGTTTATAGATGGTATAGCTTGTGGTTCATTCGTTGACGATATTCACCGTCAACTTAAATCGCCCCGTAAATCTTTCGCAGAAGATTGCTTCCGCAAGTAAGCATGCTTCTAATCCATACACCAGCAGCGTCTTGTAGAGTGCGACTTTGGTCTGGCGATAGTGGCATTGTTTCTACATTGCTTACTTAGATCACAGTAGCATTTGTTGGCCAACATTATCTTTCTTCGAATTTCAAAACTGATGTTATTAGTTTTATTTATGGCGGTACCGAGGTATATGGAATCTTTTACTACCTCCACAGTTACTCCGAGCCTACTGGACATAAATTTACTGCCAGAACCACTTTGGCAATTTGGTCAAAAATGGCTGTTACAGCTAGCAATGTGTTGCTTGGTGTACATAGTACCATTCTGTTTACCTTTATATCTCGTCTGACCTTTTCCAAAGAATGTTAAAAAGTTCACACGCGAAGCCTTGTTCAATATTAAAGGGCTCCGAGAGGTCCTTTCCGACTTTAAAGTTATCCTGCATAGGCGTATTAATTTTGCAGGAATGCTGAATGCAGACATGGCTGTAAACACGTCAGTACATTTCGACGGTCCTGACCAATACCATGGGTTTCCTGATTGTTGTCTATGGTATCGGTTGTCTATAGTATTCGTCAAGCAGTTGGATAAACTGAGGGGGGTAGACTTCTGATATCTGTTTTATATGCAGCTTGTCGACGTCCGTGTTTTTTTTCTGCTACGTTATCACGAGTGCGAACCTTGGCTACTACAAGTTAGTGGTCCGAATCGATATTCGCTACTCGGATCGATCGATTTGATTGCTAGTTGTTTGATCGGGAGAAAGCCAAGTGGCATGGTGTATATCGAGATACTTGAATCTGGTGCTTATACGTTTGCAGGGATCCTCAACATTAAGTGATGTTTTCCGAGTGTGGACAACTAACCCGATGCCTTAACCAATTTTTTTATAGTTATCTAGATCACTATTTCAACGGTTGTTGAAAGTAGCCACCCATTTGATACCTCGGGAGATCAGTGTCCACAATTAAAGTCCACAAAAAAGTCCTGCTGAATTGTTTGTAAATGTATGTTTCTAGTTCATTTGTTCTACCTGAGGGACTGTTATTTTTTCACAGTACAAACAATTTATCAGGTCTCGACCGATTTGAAAATGTTTTTGTACTCCATATGATGGATGTATAAAAAGTTCGGACTGTCCGCAATAAACAATGTGTTTGTTTAATCCGAAATTAAACATATTCAGCCAAAATCAGTTAAGTTCGCATCAAATGAGTTCAGAAATATGTACCGGACATAGCAAAATATATGCCGGGGTCAAAATACTCTAATTTTGTAGACCACATTACTGCAGTGGAGCAAATATCTCGTAATGTATATGTAAAAGGATAAGCTCAATACTAATTATGTAGGGTCCCCATGGTCTACCAGGTTCCCCTATACTATTTTTTATTGGGTTATTACGGCTTGTACCCACAAAATTGTACATGGGCTATATTACATATATCCAAAATAGTATAGGGTATCATCTAGTCGATCAAGCCAATGATTTTTTTAGATCACTTTTTTGCTAAAAGAACTCACTTTTAATCGAAAATTCGCAAAATTGTTAATAAGGTATAGGCATATGTGTCGTATACATTATGACAATACGTATACGCACTAATGTACACACAATATGACATTAGTTTTATGAAATAAACATACAGAATAGGTAATTATTTGTTAATATTCTAAATATGTATTCCCTTCCGAAGCAGTTTCAATTAAACCACTGTCCATTAAGAACTATTTGTGGTGTAGCGGCCAATGCATGTATTTTCGTTCGTTAACTTTTGCGAAAAACAAAAATATATATACATACGTAAGTTCTCTCTGTTGTTCGGTTTGTTTAAACTTTTGTGTATAAATCATATGCTGGTCTTCTCCGAGTCGAGTTTGCCAATACTTTGGGCATGCAAAATTTATGTGACATGTATCCTGAAATCTGCCGAACTGAATGCAAGGATGTAGCATGTAGTCAATTCGTTTTTTTTTCTTTCTGAGTAATTCCACATAAAAGATGTTAGGATGAAATGGCGACAGGTAGAAAGAACAAGCATTGGTATAACTTCAAGGTAATATTCAAAGGAGGCCTTTTGTAAATATGTAAATATTTTTAGTTTTACATCGGGTTTACAATTTCATTTTCTATTGAAGATTCTTAACAAGCTGTTAACTTCTCTAGATGAAAGGAAATACCACAAAAATATGTATATAGAACGTGACCGTTTTCCTTTAAAGGCCCTTATTCCCATATGACCAATTCCCTGCAGTGGTACTCTCAAACTTGTTTTAAATTAGTCAGACCCGAGCCACTCGCTGTTATGCCGTTTCGTCGTATGTGTCGTTATCATCGCGTGGCGCGACTTAATATGGACTACGTAAGTGGATATACATCACTACATATGGGCGAAATGGAGAGTGTTGATATTGTGTACTCGTACATGTTTGAGTGCAGCAGAGTAATTTTTCAAGCACATTTCTGTGTTCTATCTGGGGTCCATTTGAAGTTTATCCAAATAGTGAAGAATCGTGAATTTGCATATTTGGTTTGGTCGCTGATTGTGTTGGGCACAATATTAAATGTTCAAACAAATGAAAATGCTGAACTTATATTTGTTCTGAATGTCGCAGAATGAAAAAAAAAATGTTTGGGTTGTTTTAAAAATTGAATAATAGGGGGACATTTAAAAATTGATATTTTATGGGAAAGCAGGGAATCTCTTTTGATT